AAAGCTTATGCCCAAATAAATCTGTTAGTCTTTAAGGTGCCACCAGACTCCTTGTTGTTTTTGTAGATACAGACTAACACGGCTACCCCCTGATACTTGGAATTAATGAGGCGCACTCTAGGGCAATGGTTGAAGAGGGGATTATGACTGATCATATGATTCTTGCTGGGCACTGAAGTCAGTGGAGCTACAACAATTTATATCAGTTGATGATGATTGGTGCTTCTACATATATCTTATTTTATGTTGTTAATTTAAAATTAATTTAGTACCAGTGAAAAGTCCTGGATTTAGACCTGGACCTAGAACAGAGTCCTCTATTCTTCCACAGAACTGTTGCAGTGTGGCATGCAGCTCCATTCTGTCTGGTAATTTAACTCCACCCTAACTTGAAAGGGTCATCAAGAGGGGTGAGCTTGCCTAGTCTATCACCTGCCCTCTCTTACTGAGACAATCAGCTTAGAATGACAATGACAATTTTTGTCTCCTAGGAATCAATCTGAGCTTTAGCAGCCCATTTTAGATAGTTCAGCAAACAAGTAATTTCTTATTGCCTTGCTCTAGTGGGCTCTTAGAAATAAAATCCAACACATTTCACAGAAGAGTAAAGACTCTTGGATTAAACCCTCAAGAAAATAACAGGCATTGAAAAAAACACGTGTATTGTAACTTGCTCTGAAAACAAATGAAACCAAAGCACATCAAGCACGTATGCAGGAGTTTTGGCCCAAGAAATCTTGCTAATGAACAATTTAACATCATGTTGCCCCTCCCAGGCAAACACAGGGACGTGTTCAGAGAAGTAGCAGGTCATTTAGGCTGCTGTGCACAAACATGTGTTTCCTGTGATACTGATTAAAGGAAACCAAAATAATCTGCACAGGGGAGAGCTTTGTGAAACCAAAACTCTGGAAAGCAAGAGGAGGCCTGTGCTGCCTGCACAGTGTCAGGTCTGACCGGGGACTGTTTCTGGGGGAGTAGGGGATTGTGACTGTTAACCATCAGCATGCTTAGTTAAAGAGAGGTCCTTCAGACTCTAACAGCCAGAAGGAGGCAGAGTGCTCTTCCAACTGTCTGACACACTGAGATGCCAGCATTTGTAAGCTGCTTCTAGTGTAACTGCTCTTCTTTCTCTTGTACAGATGGATTTCATGTAACAAACCTGGAGGTTTCCTAAACATAGGTCCATGTTAGGGGTGCAGGGAGAGGGAGCTGAGGCCCATGTAACCTGGCATGCACTAGATGAATGTATTGGAAGGGTCAAATGACAAAAGGTGATAATATTTTTGCTGCAAATACCTACCCTCCTCAACCCATAGGCTGGATCTTGTGGGGAAGGGTGAGGCGAACACTGCTTCAGATAGGCTCATTCCCACATTGGGCTCTGGGTTAGGCTTGATCCATCTACTACAAAAAAGTTAACTCTTCTTCCTTCCATTCCAGAGAAATTTCTACTGCAAGACAAGTATCGTTATTCCTATTTCACAGATGAATCTGGCACACAGACAGATGACATCAGTTATCTGAGGTTAGCTAGCAGGCCAAGGACAGAGCCAAGAATAGAAATTAGGTCTCCTGACTCCTGTCCTATCATCTGACCCAAGATATTTCTGGCTCAATATTAACATCTCAATTAGATTAGAGAGAAGGCAGGGCTCTATGTGAGACTTCTTGTGCCCCAAACAAAATCTTTGAGGTCAGATGAAGGATCACGAGCAACGTGGAAGACGTACAACACATTTTTGCTCCGCACTTCCTGTCAATTTCTATGTCAGTGAGTTAGTGAGCAAATCTGTAGCAAGTTCCTGTACCGCGTGTTAATGAGTCTTGTGTGTTAAATAGGTAGCACTGGGAGGCATGGTGCTACCGCGCGTTAAGCAGATTTGCACGTAAATGGGTCTGTACTGTATGTCTAACCATTAACAGGATTCCGTTCAGTTCTCTGCTCTTTCCAGAGGGCTAACTGCAAAATGAAATCAACCCAAATAACCCAAAATGTGCTATGGGAAATTTATTAACTCCTTTTCAGCTAAGAAAGCTACTTGTGAAAATTCCCAGCAGGCACTGTATTGTTTTCCGTGGCATTTAGACACACTGGCCCAGATCCTCAAATATTTAGGCACCTAACTCCCATTGATTTAAATGGGACTTTGGCACCTAAATATCTGTGAGGATCTGGGATATGCTGCTCTTTTGAGTCAACAGAGGCTTGGGGTAAGCTACAACTGCAGGGTCAAACTCACACATGAACAAAACCTCTCATCCTTGTTCTTTTTCCCCCCCTCGCTGACTTTCTCTGTCGAAGCACTCCAGTTGGCTGCAGTTTGATGATGCTATCAGTGACCCAGTAATCAGATGTAGCTGTTGGTAATAATGTCAGACAGATCCTACACCGACTACTGAGCAGCCAATTGCATCTAGGTTCTCCTGCTTCTCCATATCTCTTCAAGGGAAAGAGAGATGACTCCAAATGGGGCTTACTGTTAGTGTAATATCTTCACCCTGTGAAAACAAGACACGGTCCTAGGAGGGTGGTGACCACATGCAAAGAAGGAGGCCGGATGAAAGGCAGCCATACAGGCGCCTATGTTCCTGAAATGCACCAGTCTCTAAAAATACCAGTGTTACAGTGCAAAGAGGTCTGCGTGAAGCCCACACATTCTGGAGTTTCAAATCTCTCTTCTTCGCGGGGATCAGCCAGGGTCTTGAGAATCTCCATTTCACATCTAAACCTCCCTCCCAATTCATCGCTGCTTTACACTGCCACCCACATTGTAGACACATGTAGAACACATGGCCAAGGAGGACAAGTCAGGCTCTCTTTGGAGCCTGTTGACAACTCTTGTTATTGGCCTCGTTGGGAGTGCCCAGCTGAGTCACATGAGCTGCTCCCAGCCTCTCCTGAGAAGGGAGAGACCAAAGCCAGACTTGGCCACCACCCCTTGTTTACCTCAGTGGGCTAAGGAGCAAGGTCTGAATTTCCTGGCTTTGGCAGGTTTTGGGCCAGTCATGCATGTTGACCCTTGGTATTTAATCCCGTGGTAGAACTAACTCACTCCCCTTCCGCCTCAGGAAAAGGACATGAGTTACTTCCAGGCCATTGCTTTTCAGACTGTGCCATGGCACTTGGGGAAGGTTTGTGTTGAGGGTTGACATGGTTTTGGGACCAGATTGGGGCCTTAATCTCTGGCCACATTATCAAGAGAGAAGGGGGAGGGAAGGACTGGCAAAGGGGGCCACCCAACAGCCAAAGTCCCCAGAGCAATCCCAGCTAACACAGCAAGAATTCCTCTAGGCCTCTGGGGAAGTGCTTGTCAGCCTGAACAGTCACTGCCCTTCCTTGGATTTTCTAGCAGGGCCCCTTTAAACCCAGCCAGGGATCCCCCAAGAGAACCACTGAGATCAGTGTGGCCCTCACCATGCCCTCTTGCTGACCAGCCTTCATATTTTGCACACTATTGATTCTCTGCAGCCTTCACATAGTAGAGGGCATTGCCACACCGTGCCCTACTCCACCATTGTGGCAAGCTGGTGCAAACCCAGCAGGAAGTGGGGTTGATGACAGGCTATGTGGCATGCTCAACTTGCTTTTTCAGAAAGGGACAGAAGTGGCTGAGGATGAGCCACAGAGAAACCTGGGCTGTTTTGCATTGGTTCTTGGCCTCATCAGCTTACCTTCTGCTTATCTTTCCCATCAACCCACCCACACCTCCCTGTCAGTCATAGACACCTGCTTTCTCCCCCTGCTGCATTTTCTCTTCCTGCTCTTCCTATCATGTCTCTCACTAGCAGCTGTGGTCATCCCCTGGCTCTCAGCCTTACTATTTCTTTTGTCATTTTTGTAAGTAACAACAAGAAATCTCTTTTCCAGGCAGAACATACCTCTAATGAGCTGGGATCCTGTGAAAGTCTATGGAGAAGCTGATTGAACACTCCCAGTTGTTCTATTACTACCTTTACATTCAGGGCCAGCCACCTTCCACTTAGAAAAGCTGTTCTGTGAAATAAACAAGCCTGGGAACACCTGTGTCTCTTCCCCCCGCCCATGCAAAGCTCAGATAAGTAGGAGATGTAACCAGGGCTCAGTGTGTGAGGCTACCTTTTCCAAGCCCCTGGCATGGTCCTCAGCCATATTGCTAATGCCACTGTAGCTGCAGTTGGAGCCCTGTTTGGGGAGATTATCCCTATGGGTCTACATTGTGGCATGCTCCTGCCCCCCACTCTTCCCCCTGTGCTACTAGAGAGAGAGGCTCTGAAGTGCATGGGTGAAATGTCCTCCTGTGCAGCCTCTCCAGCCTGGCCCCCAGCTTGCACAATGGATCTAGGGTGGTTCCACTCCCCTGAGCGTTTTCCCCAGCCGCATAGCAGAGGCAGCGTTTAGGGGAGGGACCCACCCGGAGCTGGACAGGGCTCATACTGCACCTGTTTGCACGAGTGCTCAGCTACACATCCTCCCAGGCGATGTGGCTACCCCATCCTTCCTGTCGCACCGAGCCGATGTGAGAAATGTGCACGATTGCTGTGAGAGATGAGCACAAGGTGATCACGCAACTTCCTTCTCTGGGAAAAATAGGGGGTGAAATGCTTTGAATATACATAGAGCCATACAGAGGTGGGCAGCATTGCTCTAACAGAAAGGCTACAGTGTTCTCCAGAAATACACCGGAATACTCCAACTTACTGCTATGCTTGAGGCATGACTGCAGAGCACTGTAGCATGGTCGTTATATAAGGGATGGTGGCTCATCACTGCAGATCTTTGTGATTTCTGTGCAATAAAAGGGAGATACATATGAACTGAGCACATAGGCACACTCAGATGGGGACAATATAGTACTTAAGGCATTCAGATGGACCCCAAACGCACACTTGGGTATACACATGCACACAGAGATTGGGAATGGGAGATCTTATTTTTGCCAAATGCAGAAGCCACTTAGAAATAGTGGATTCTAGATTTACAGTAGAACTCAGGCCTGGCAAAAAGCCAGCTCTAAGCTGCTGCTGCTTCTTATAGGTTATTCCACAATCACCCTCAAAGCATAACAAGACTTTCAAACAAGAAACATTTTCCTAGCATAAACTAGAAATACTGTACAAGGATTTCCCCCCGCCCCCTTTCGGATTAAATTTTAGTTCAGAAAACAATGGTTTGCAAAAATGCAAAACTTTGAAAGACCAAAAAAATCTGACTTTTTTTTTTTTAATAAAACCTTAAAAACTACTTGCTCCCTTAGCAAAGTCACCGGCCCCTCAACCTCCACTTTAGCCTGTGCTTAACTGTAAGTACATTAGTACTCCCATTGAAATCAATAGGACTACTGAAGTTCCTTAAAGTTAAGCATGTGCTTAAGTGCTACAGCTCAGCACCCAGGAGCCATCAGCTCCTATTAAGAAAATAACCTTTGAACCTGCACCTTATGGCTCTGATCCAGCAAAGCACTTAAGTGTGTGTTTAGCTTTAAGCAAGTGAGTCCCATTGACTTCAAATGGGACTGCTTAAAGTTAAGTTAAAGTTAAGAATGTGCTTGAGTGATATGCTGGATCAGGGCCCCAATGCTCAGCACCTTACAGGGTTGTCCCCATGGAGCAATTAGTGCACTGTCAGACGTGGTCACCATACCTTGCCATTTCTCTCAGCGAATCATAAAAAAAGTTTGCTCTTTTACAAAAGCAAGAACCAAAATGCTTTTCCAGATGGGGCCAAGCCAGGTGAGGGTTACCCTTTGTCCATCAGACATGCTGCTCCTGGATGCTCTCTTAGAAAATGAAACTCATTTCCCCTAACCATGTGTCCCCAGCCCAACTCCAGACTCAGCATTTTTAGCAGAAGAAAAAAATTAAACAGAACTGAAGAAAAAAAAAGGAAAAGAAGCAACAAGGCTTTGTAGAGCTTCATTTTCTTCCCCTGGGCTTACAGCTTCTTCCTCAGAGTAAAATCCACAGGTAGCAGGGCAGCTGATGAAATGGGAAGGGGGCCTGGACACAACCCGAAGTCTGAATCCCCAGTTTGGGTCATTATTTTGCTCCCTTCTTCGTGAACCTCTAGCCATCGAAGCTGCTCTCTGTTGAGCCAGGATGGAGGCAGAAATGCTGCTGCTTTTATCAGTACTGCAGCAAGCAGCTTCTGAATTCCCCTTCCCCCAGGATGGGACATTCATACTCTTCTTACTCACCTCCAGCAGGGACAGTCCCTGCGCCACAGGTTTGGTGTGATGACGAGGGCTCCTCTTAGATCAAACAAGAAACTGGGGATTTTTACTGGGTTTTCTCCCCTCCCCTCTCTCTTTCTTCTCATTTTCTGGAAACGAAGCACACTCAGTCTCCAGTTTTTCATGCCATTTGGCGTGTTTCACTGCTTTGTGGGGGCGAGGGCTCGTCTTTTTAGCCCTGACTGCTTTCAGATAGGCTGTAGGGACTTTACAGATTAGTTTGTCTCTTTCCCGACTTCCACTCAGCAAATAAAGGGACTTTCTTCTCCTCTTGCACTGACAGCTGGAATTTCTGATGATCTGGTTTAATGAAAGCTTTGCGGCCATTTCCCAATCAGGCTTCTCCCCTGCTCATCACTGTACCTCAGCTGGGGTGACCAGATGTCCCAATATTAGGGGCTTTGTCTTGTATAGGCAGCTATAACCCTCGCTTCCACCCCATCCCAATTTTGCACACTTGCTGTCTGGTCACCCTAACCTTGGCAAATCCGTATAAAAGGTAGTTGTTTTCATATAGAGTCTGATCATGTCTCCCATAGTGAGCAGTTACTCATGCGAGGAATCCTGGGGATTTCAATGGGTCTACTTGCATGCATAGCTGCTCATCCAAATGAGTAAAGGATTCCCACAAACCGGCCCTCAGGCATTACAAATAGTAAATAATAATCACTTATTATTAATAGAGGCAGACCTGAGTTCTGTTCCTCTCTCTGTTGTTGGCCTGCTAGGTGACCTTGGGCAAAGCCTCCTTGTACCTCAGTTTCCCCATCTGTAAAATGGGGATAATTATATTGATCTCTTTTGCCAAACACTTTGAGATCTAGAGTTGAAAAGTGCTATATTAATTAATGATAATTATATTCACATGTACTATATATGTGCAAGGGATATCCATGTGAAAGTCAATGTTTTTCTAAAAGATATGCTCTAGTTCAAGTATAACTAATGGAGCTGAAGGAGAAATTGATACAGGAAAATTCGGTGGTCTGTGTTATGCAGGAGGTCAGACTAGAAATTCACAATGACTCCTTCTGGCCTTAAAAATCTATGACTAAATTGCTGAGTCATGTGATAATTTGTATTTGAACCTTGCATCTTTGACCAGTTTCACCTGCCCTTTGCCCACTGGGACTACTTCCAACTTCAAACAGTTGCTAAATGCAAAAATAAAAAAAAACTTGCCACAAAATCCAGCCCTGGACTGATGTGATGAAGTGGGAATTTTCTGTAATGTTTTTATGAAGCCTATATGTGCCTCAGTTTCCCCTAAATGCTGCATTGTTACCAAGTGGGGAAAGGGACTGTTTGCTCTTAGGGCATGCTAGGAGACTTGGGTTTGGATGTCCCCTAGCTGCCTGGCCTTAGTCGCCATATCAGTGGAGCACCTGAGAAGACAATGAAAAACCCAATAACCATGACATTGACTCTTAGTAACCAATGACCTAGGGAGATATTGGTTTTCCTCACCTCTTAGCAGGGAAGCTGAGCAACATCCCCAAGCTGGAGAACAAAGGACAGAGATGTGAGGTGAGGGATAAGAGTTGGCTGCTGGAAGGAGTCCGGGCTCTCACCTGGAGTCTGACCAAGGAGGGACAGACAAAGCTAGAATAATGGGGTTCACTACAACTTGGCTGGGCTCCCTAGAGTGAACTATGCATTAACCTTCATTCCTCTGTGCTAACCTAAGGACTTCCTGTGCTGTGTTCCAGTTCCTAATAAACCTGACTTTTGGCAACTCTATAGTGTCACTGCAAATGCTGAGTGAGGTGCATTAATCCCTGCAGAGCGTACAAGAGTTTATCTCTGTTGGACTCACTGAACAGAGCTCATAGTGTGAAGCAGGGACCTGAAGGCCCCAAAGTCACATCTAAGGAGGTGGTGAAGCCATATGGCCTACCCTGAAGGAAGAGACTATGAGGAGTCCTTGTGGCACCTTAGAGACTAACACATTTATTTGGGCAAAAGCTTCCGTGGGCTAGAACCCACTTCATCAGATGCAATCCTGAAGGAAGAATGAAACCCCTTGGGGGTCTGGCACACCCCAAGGGTTCTTCCTAGAGACTCTTCCATAGCTGGGGGTGTAGCACCAATCCTGTAGATCCTTGACAACCAGTGACAAATTTAAAAGCTGAATATCTTATGAACAGATCAGGCTGGCAACAGGTGTTTAATCACACTGGAAAGAGACTGGGATCCCCCTTTTAATTTCTAGCCTTGGTAGGTTCCAACTTATCAGTCCTTAAAATCATGAACCCCGATAGCTATTTGCATAGGTTTGCGCGTGTGCGTGCTGTGATGCTCTGTACATTGGGGGAACACCCAGCACCCCCATATTCATCCTTGTAAAATGATTGTGTGGTATACAATGCAAAGTTTGTCATGTCAGGTGTCTTCGGAGGGCTCATGATGTACTGAGCATTGTTGTTATAGTGATGTTATAGGTTATAATTTCATGTATATAGTTATGAGGCTGAAAATGTATCCTCATGGCTTAAAGCAAGCGTAGACAAAAATTCTCCAAGAGCAGAGAATCAGTTCACACCTCATCAGGGCAGGTATGGGACAAATCCAGCCTAGCCTCACAGGAACAAAAGACGCTGGCCTAGGCAGCAACAAAAGAACCTGTTACTCTCGAGTGAGTCACCCCCCCTTCCTTTGGTCAGTTTGGAACTGCAATGAAGTAATGCTCACCTGACTCTGAAGGTGGGGGGGGGGCAAAGTCAAGATGGAAGAAAGGACATGATAAAAGGGAGAGACATTTGCCATGCTCTCTCTCTCTCTCTCTTCCACCTACATCTACAGACATCACCACCAAGCGACTGAAGTGCTGATCAAAGGGGAGAGCCTGGCTGAAGAGCAACCAGCCAACCTGTGGTGAGAAGCATCTAAGTTTGTAAGGACATTGAAAGTGTTAAGAGCTTAGAAAGCATTTTGCTTTTATTTCATTTGGCCAAATCTGACTTGTTATGCTTTGACTTGTAATCACTTAGAATCTATCTTTATAGTTAATAAATCTGTTTGTTTATTCTACCTGAAGCAGTGCAATTGGTTTGAAGCGTGTCAGAGGCTTCCCTTGGGATAACAAGCCTGGTATGTTTCAATTTCTTTGTTAAATTGACAAACTCATACAAGCTTGCAGCATCCAGCAGGCATAACTGGAAACTGCAAGGGGGCGGGATAGCACAGTGGTTTGAGCATTGGCCTGCTAAACCCAGGCTTGTGAGTTCAATCCTTGAGGGGGCCATTTAGGGATCTGGAGCAAAAACAAAACAAAAAAAACTCCAACCAACAGGGATAGTACTTGGTCCTACTAGTCAAGGCAGGGGACTCAACTCAGTGACCTTCCAAGGTCCTTTCCAGTTCTATGAGATATACCTATCTCCATATATTATTATTTATTATATTATAAGACAGAGGTTCCTAGGGTTGTGTCTGGGACCAGAGATATTGGCTAGTGTCATTTGCTTGCAAGTAGCTGGGAGCAGCTTACATGCCAGAGGCTGTGCATGAACAGCCCAGGAGTGGAGGTTCTCACAGCAGAGCAGGGTAAGGCTGGCTCCCAGAGTCAAAGATTGGAGAGGCCTAGCAGATCACCAGTCTGGATAACACCAGAGGGGAACGTCACACAGTCAGTCAGTCTCTCTCTCTTCTTTATTCTCCTTAAATATTGGTTGGGAATATTTTTTTTCTGGGACATCCATGTATCTTTGGAGTTTCTTTCCCTGTGGAATCATATTAAAAAACGGATGTTAAATACAGCCCTTTTTTGGCTTGCTGAAAGCTAAATTGGTGGTATGACTGCCTGGCTCCCATGGTGCTTGGGTAGTGCTAATAACCCAAAGAGCAGGTTTCACCTTTTGCAAAGAGTAAATTAATTCTGCTTTCACTATGTGCTAGGCACCAGGGTTAAAGATAAAGGGCTTAGTTCTCAGTTACTCCATCCAGGGCTGCTGAGAGCGGGTTCGGGGCCCAGTGAAAAAAAATTTTCAGGCCCCTCAGCAAGGGCAGACCGGCTAAACAGGGCTGACGAGGGGGGGGAAGCCGGGCCCCCGGCCCCCTTCCGGACCGCCGGGCCCCAGTAATTTGTGCATCCCTAAGCCTGGGGCTGTGTAACAGAGCAGGCTCCACTATCTGTCATAGAATCACAGAACATTAGGGTTGGAAGAGACCTCAGGAGGTCATCTAGTCCAACCCCCTGCTCAAAGCAAGACTTAGGCTAGGTCTACACTGGGGAGGGGGGGGGAATCGATTTAAGATACGCAAATTCAGCTACGTGAATAGCGTAGCTGAATTCGACATATCCGATCCGACTTAACCCGCTGTGAGGACGGCGGCAAATCGACCGCTGCGGCTCCCCCGCCGACAGCGCTTACTCCTATCTGGGCTGGTGGAGTACGCGCGTCGATTCGGGGATCGATTGTCGCGTCCCGACGAGACGCGATAATTCGATCCACGAGAGATCGATTTCTACCCGCCGATCCAGGCGGGTAGTGAAGACAAGCCCTAAGAACAACTAAATCATCCCAGCCAGGGCTTTGTCAAGCTGGGCCTTAAAAACCTCTAAGGATGGAGATACCACCACCTCCCTAGGTAACCCATTCCAGTGCTTCACCACCCTCCTAGTGAAATAGTATTTCCTAATATCCAACCTAGACCTCCCCCACTGCAACTTGAGATGATTGGTTCTTGTTCTGTCATCTGCCACCACTGAGAACAGCCTAGCTCCATCCTCTTTGGAATCCCCTTTCAGGTAGTTGAAGGCTGCCATCAAATCCCCCCTCATTCTTCTCTTCTGCAGACTAAACAAGCTCAGTTCCCTCAGCCTCTCCTTGTAAGTCATGTGCCCCAGCCTCCTGATCATTTTCGTTGCCCTCCGCTGGACTCTCTCTGATTTGTCCACATCCTTTCTGTAGTGGGGGGCCCAAAACTGGACGCAGTACTCCAGATGTGGCCTCACCAGTGCTGAATAGAGGGGAATAATCACTTCCCTCGATCTGCTGGCAATGCTCCTACTAATACATCCTAATATGCCATTAGCCTTCTTGGCAACAAGGGCACACTGCTGACTCATATCCAGCTTCTCATCTGCTGTAATCCCTAGGTCCTTTTCTGCAGAACTGCTGCTTAGCCAGTCGGTCCCACCCTGTAGCGGTGCATGGGATTCTTCCGTCCTAAGTGCAGGACTCTGCACTTGTCCTTGTTAAACCTCATCAGATTTCTTTTGGCCCAGTCCTCCAATTTGTCTAGGTCACTCTGGACCCTATCCCTACCCT